GAAAGAAAGACAGAAAGAAAGAAAGAAAGAAAGAACACACTCAGCTGACAGAGGGAAAAACAACAAACAACCTACTTTTCACCAAAAACCAGAAACCGGAGACTGGTTGAAAGTCAGTTTAAGCCGGCATGGCAGAGGCAGGTGGATCTCTGTGAGTTTGAAGCCAGTCTGGTTTACTTAGTGAATTCCAGGACAACCAGGGCTACATAATAGAGAGACCCTGTCTCAAAAAGAAAAGAAAAATCAGTTTATCATCTGCCATTGCCATTCTGGTTCATACTTGTGATCCCCATACTTTGGGGGTAAAGGAAGGATGATCAAAAGTTCTAGGATGGCCTCAGCTCCATAGTGAGTTTGGGACTAACCTGGCTACATGAGATGCTGTCTCAGTAAAATAAACAAAAATAAAAAATAAGGAAGTTGGCCAGGCAGTGGTGGCACATGCCTTTAATCCTAGCACTCAGTGGGCAGAGGCAGGTGGATCTATGAGTTCGAGGTCAAGCCTGGTCTACAGAGTGAGTTCCAGGACAGCTGGGGTTACACAGAGAAACAATGTCTTAAATAAATAAATAAATAAAAGTTGGATTACTATTAAGTTAGACTATAGGGTAAGGAGTCCAAACTCACTTCCGGGTTTTAAAAACCCACCAATTCCTGAGCTTGCTCCCAGATCAGGCCACAAAATCTTACCAATCCCAGGCCACCCAGGGAATCCCACCCCACTCCCAAGAAACCCTATATATAAAGCCTGCCTCCCACTTATTTCCATTTGTTTCTTCTTGCCTGGGCAGAAGCTGCTGAAAAGTTTCTACAACCCTATAAGCCTCTCTGCCAATGCAGCAATCCAAATCAGACCAAATCAAACGGAATTAGAAAAAACCCACGTTTTATGGATACAATGCTCTTGGATGACCTTCCAGCCCCCCAGAGAGGAGATGGGAAAGGGAGGAAGTTTAAATACCCTGTGGGAGTGGTCTTGAGCATCTCTGGGGGAGGGATCATCATTTGGTGAGCTTTCAGAGATGCAGCAGGGTTTGGAGAGATAGGGGAGGGGGCTGGGTTAGAACTTCGACCTTAGCATCCCAGACTCTTAGGGTATATGCAGGCCAGTTCATGTCTGGCTTCCTCCTGCTGACAAAGTGGATTGTGGGGGAGGGGGAAGGAGAGAGTCAGTTGATACTATAACTAAAATGGCTAATGTACAAACAATACTCTACTGTTAGGTTCTGGGGAGCAAAAAGACCTGCAGGAAAAGGAGGCTATCATAATGTACTGGGACCCACTTTTGGGAGACACTAGCAGGGTCTCAGTGACTCAGCAACCTTAGTAAGACATTACTACACTGATAAATTTGTCCTGTGTGTTTCTACAGCTGAGCGATAAAATTGGGCTCAAGGTTACCTCTTTATGCAGCCAATTGCAGTTTAACTGTGTTAGTTCACCTTTCATTGTTTTGACAGATACCTGAGAAAAACACCTGGTGGGGGGTGGGGTCGGTTCATGGGCTCAGAGGTTTGGGGCCATAGCCACTTGGCCCCATTACTATGCAAATGATAGAATTCACAAGCTGGGCAGTGGTGGCACACACCTTTAATCCCAGCACTCAGGAGGCTACATAGTGAGTTCCAGGACAACCAGGGCTACGTAGAGAAATTTTGTCTCAAAAAAAAAAAAAAAAAAAAAAAAAAAAAAAAAACAGGAGAAACACACA